AGAAGAAAAGATTGTATTTTAGTAAATATACATGGGGAGGAGATTTGGAAGGCTTTTACTTTTTCTGCTTTTGATTTATATTAAATATATTTTATAAAAAGAAGATAAATGCCACTTGACTACTGCATTCTTAACTCATTGGGTGCATATAATTTTGAGGTCAGATGGTAATAGGGGAGCTCAATGTGACAAATCTAATTTTGCAGTAGTATCCGTGCTCAGTCAGTTGATGCAAGGTGAGGGATTATTTCCCACTAACCTCTACTTACTGTGGTTTAGTGACTTTTCTCCTTTACATCATTTAAATCCTTAGAGAGGTGCATAAGCAGTAAAAAGCAAACCCCTTTTGCTGGGTGTGGTAGTGCCTGCCCATAATCGCAGGTACTAAGTAAGTTGAGGCAGGAGGAGTCCAAGTTCAAGTCCAGGTTTACAGCTTAGCAAGACTGTGTCGCAAAATGAAAACAAGGACTGGGGATATATCTCAGTGGTAGAGCACCTGCCTAGCTTGTATAAGGCTCTCAGTTCAATCTCCAGTACTGAATTTGGTTTTCATTGTGGAATACCTAGTTTATTCTTGCATCATTTTATAGAAAGGTTCATATATTTCTCTGATAGCCATATGCTTTTTCCTAGTTGCAGAGTTGACTGGTAAATTTTATATCTTGAGACTGGAGCTTTTTCCAGGTAATACAGGGACAAAATAAAGGAACATTGTGAGAGCTCCTTTTCTCCCCCCTGTATCTGCATGGTTAACTTGAGAGGCAGGAAATCACAAGTCTGAAAATCAAATGACAGCATTCCTTGCTTTGATAGTCTTACCTGCAAGATAACGAATTGTCTCAAGTTTGTTAGACTCCATCAGCGTTTTTAAGGAAGCAATTTCAGTGTCAATTTTATTACTGGTTTCTGAAATAACACTTTTGGTTTGGGTGTCCTGTAGTAAATAAGAATAAATATGAGGACAAAATTTTTTTCCTCTGTATTGTGGTCTATAACATTTTCAACAGAAACGCTCACTTAAGTGCTAACTGCACATTTCAGATGAGATTTTGCGTGTTCAGGGTGGTATGGCTGTAGACTAACGGCACATTTCAAAAGTTTTAATTGGAGAAAAACAGTAAAAGCATAATAGTATTAAAAAATACTAAATGAACTTTGCAAACTGACAAATTGCAGACTTCCAATTTTCATATTTGGAGGTAATTTCTTAGGATAATCACATACTGGGTATATTCTACTAAGTCTTGTAAGATATTTGAGACCCAAATAAATAAGATGAAAAAATTAAGAAGAAAAATTTTTTATAATTCCAGAACTATCACTTTGTGTTTGTAAGTTCCTTAGAATGTTATGGTTAAACTTTAGATATATTCTGTGAAAGAAAAAAAATCAAACAGTTTATGAACTGTAATGAAAGGAGCTGGCAGATGTACCCGATGGATAACACTGAATGTATAGGAGTTGGAGCAAAGATATCAGTTGTGAAAAATCTGCTGAGTCCCTCATTTACCTCATTTCTCCGGCCAAGAAGAGAAGAGAACAGGACCTGTAGTATGATAAACATGATCTTCTCCTTCATTAAATACTAAGCAAGCTATTTAAAAGCCAAATGGCTTTTATTTATTTATTTGTTCAAAAAAAATTTTTGTGGTCTTTTTGAGACAGGCTGTTGCTATGCAGTTCAAGGTGGCCTTGAGCTCAGTTTATAGCCCAGGCTGGTCTTAAACTCCACAAGGATCTTCCTGCTTCAGCCTCCCAAGTGGTGGGGTTACAGGCGTGCGCCACTATGCCCAGCTGTTCTTTCAAAAATAATTACCATGTAAAAACAGTTTTAAAAAGTATGCTATGTGGGAGGCTTGATTCTTTTCCAAGGACCATGGCTCATGTATAACCATCTACATGGGGGCAGCTTCCCAGAAGTGCTGGCCAAGTATATTAATTGAAAGGAAAGCATGGATTCTACTGGACTTTTAAAAATTCAGACTTACAAACTGATACACATAAAAGCAGTTACACAAGCCTGAACAGAAGAGAAATTCTACATGCTATCTTACCTTTCTGGTAAACTCTGTGGTTGCTTCCATAAGTTGCTTTTCTTGATCTGTAAACTAAAGAATATAGAGCAGCAGGAGGTTGAAAAAAGATCAAAAACAATCAAAAAGCAAGTAACCAAGAAAGCACATTTAAGAAGCACGTTACCAAATCTGTTACTCTGCTTCTTTCGAGGTTGATGTCCAGTTTATTATCTGCTCTGATTCGGCTGGTTTCATGCTTTAAAAAAAAATGAGGAAAATTTTAAGTGATCATATCATATGAAATGTTCTGAAGTTAGTAAGCAGAAAAATTTTACTTACTATCAGTTGTTGTTTCACTTGATCTAACTCAATTTTCATTTTCTAGGTATAAGAAAGATTACATGCAATTAACAAACAAAAAATGTCTATTATGATTTCTTTTTTTTTTTTTGTACCAGGAATCGAACTCAGGACCTGGTGCTTCCTAGGCAGGCACCTGTGCACTGAGCTATATCCTTGGCCCCTATGATTGACTGATTGATTGATTGACTGATTTTTTGTCTTTTTGAGACAAGGTCTCGCTATGTAGTTCAGGCTGGCCTTGAACTCCAAGCAATCCTCCTGCCATAGCCTCCCAAGTGCTAGGACTATAGGTGTGTGCCACCACACCCAGCTTCCCTATGATTTATTTTAAAAACCTTAAATATTAGCACAGTTTGAACCTTTAAGGATTTCTAGTACAGAATCTAATAGAGAAATAGCTAAAGGAATAGGCCATCAAATTCAGAAAATAATTCTTATGAAGAAAACATTAGATAACATATTTGTTTTGTTAGTCTTTAAAAATGATTGGATTTTTTGAATTTAAAAATATTTAAGCTAGGGGCTGGGGATTTAGCACAGCGGCAGAGCGCCTGCTGGCAAGTGCAAGGTTGTGAGTTCGATTTCTGGTACCAGAAGAAAAACAAACAAAACAAAAAAAAATTTAAGCTATATTTATGTGAATAACATTATCTTAAATTTCTAGTTTAATTACAGATACACTTTTTGTTTTTTGTTTTTTGGTTTTTTTTTCTGGTACCAGGAATCAAACTCACAACCTTGTGCTTGCCAGGCAGGTGCTGTGTCGCTGAACTAAATCCCCAGCCCCAGATACACATTTTTTTTTTTTTTTGGTCTTTTTGAGACAGGGTCTTGCTATGCAGTTTAGGCTGGCCTTGAGCTCACTTTGTAGCCCAGGCTGGTCTTGAACTCACAAAGATCCTCTTGCCTCAGCCTCCCAAGTGCTGAGATTACGGGCGTGCACCACCATGCCTGGCTACACATTTTTATCTTAAATGACAAATATAATTAGTACAGGCTCAAACACAATGAGCAACCCATTACTTTCAGCTTCACAAACATTATATATGATTAGCTATAGAATTTTTTTTTTTTTTGCCATGCTGGGGATTGAACCCAAGGTTTGGCACTGAGCTACACTCATCCCTAACTTTTTAAAATTTTTTATTTTGAGACAAGATCTTGCCAAATACCTAAGTTGCATGGTATTTGGTGTTAGTCCCCCGACTGCTGAGCTTATAGGTATATACCATCATGCTTGGATTACAATATAAATTTTACATACTACATAGAGCTCAAAGATTTTTCTTTTTGTGTGATTTTTACATTGTAAAATATAACTTATTCTTCACTATATAACAAACTGATTTACACATAAAAATTAGATATAATAGCTGGGCATGGTGGTGCACACCTGTAACCCCAGCACTTGAGAGGCTGAGGCAGAAGGATCTTTGTGAGTTCAAGACCAGCCTGGGAGCTCAGTCAGCCTGAACTGCATAGCGAGAACCTGTCTCAAAAAGACAAAAAAAAAAAAAAAAAAGGCATCATTACACTATCTTTTTAATCTGAATACTTGTTTTATTAATAACTACATGAAGTTATTTGGTCTTACTAACTTATTTACCAAGTAGCATACTTGTAAGATCAATTATTAGTAATAAATTAAAACATATCACCTCATTCTCTGCTCTCAGATTTGCAAATTCACTTTTTTCGAGGATGACCATATCTTTCCTGATAGAATCCAAATGAGCCATTAGCTGTTGAACTGTTATTTCCTAGAAAATAAAAATCAATCTGTGATTTATAATAATGCCACCTTTTTATTTGTGGGATTTTTTTTTTCATAAAACTGAAAATGTCAAGACACTATAAGGGGGGAAAAACAAGTTATATCATGTACAGGTACAAACTCTTTATGATGAATGTGATCATTATGTATATCTAAAATGTACCAATGAAATATGATTGGAATAGAAAAAAAGATACTACAAAATATAATTTTGCTTGAAGTAAAAAAAAAATGAAACTTACATAGATGAAATATCAAAATAAAAATGAGATTCAATTAATAAAAAGTATTTTTCTGTAAGAAGAGAAATAAAAGTCTAGGTCTTTTGGAAAAAATCCAAATAAAATGTTTATTTAGACCCCAAGAGTTCCTCAACAGTAATAAGTAACAGGCTAGAACCATTTTTTGAGCTTCAAAAGGACTGGAATGCACATCCTCCAAAACAACTGTCAGGTGAGACATTCTTATAATGCAGAGATGAAAAGTGTGAGTTGTGGAGTTAGGCTGTCTGGATCTGAATGTAAACTCTGCTACCTGCTGAGAGACTTTGGACAAGTTATATAAATTCTTTGGTCTCGTCATTTGTAAAGTGTAATCAATAACAATACCTACACTTTACAGAACTGTTTTGAACATTAAATGAGGTAATGTACATATAATGCTTAAAACAGTTTTTCCTCACAGGATCAGTAGCCAGTAACTGTTAGCTATTATTAATGATGGATTTGGGAAGCTAACAGCTGAAGCAGAACAGTCTGATTCCAAAATTTTGATGCAGGGAAGTTTTGACGTAACACTAACCCTACCATAATGATAAATGTTTTTAACTGTGTGTAGCAGACATCCCCGATGTTTATGCTTTCCGTAACCCTCATATATTACTGAGGTGGGTTCAACTTCTTTGTTCCAGGTGTACATGGCGTATTTATGAGAATTAGCTGAGAAGTCACATAAATGTGGCCTCTAGGGACTATCAGTTTGGTTCCCCCCCAAGTATCATTATAAAGGAATTCTATATGAAATTACATATTTTTGTTCCTCAGACTATGTAGGAAAGAGCTGCAAATGTTATTACAGATTTCTTGTGGAGACTGAGCCTCTGAACCTGAGAGTAAGAGACTGTACTTTCATTATGGCTCTAATGCCTTTTGTGTGTGTGTGTGTGTGTGTGTGTGTGTGTGTGTTGATACTGCATATGGAACCTTGAACACAGGCCTTTTCATTGAGCTACATTCTCAATATTTTCTTTTTTGTTTTTTAAGTTTTCTAGGATATGCTCAAACTTGTGATCCTCCTGCTCCACCCTCATAGAGTGCCGGCATTACAGGCTTGTGTCACTAGGCCTGACTTAGGAGCCTTTTTTTTAAAAAAAAAACAAAAACTTAATTTTTTTAAGTACAGCTTGTAAGTCAAAAAAGCCTATAATACAACACAGGTGTCTTATCTTCAAAAGCTTTAAATGCAAAGATATAATCATTAGGCAGTGAAACTTACTGTAAGTCTGATGTTAGAATATTTTTTAATGTTTTAAAAATTTCTAATGCTTATTGTAGCTTCTTTGGAGCTGTCAGAGATTGAGCAGAGTTTGGCCCTTTCTAAAGTGTTCAAGTAGGTAGCTTGTTTTCCTGATGGTCCTGCACCTCAGCTCCGTCCTTCAAGATGTCTTTGTGCCTTAGTCTATCTGTCTATCCTAGAGGTGGGACTAATTTGTTTTGTTTTGTTTTTGAGATAGGGTCTCACTCTGTAATTCAGGCTGTCCTTGAACTTACTATGTAGCCGAGGACTCACGACAATCTTCCTGCCGCCCAAGTGCTGGGATTACAGGCATGTGCCACTATACCCGGTGTGAGGTGGAACTGGTAATGGAGTTAGGACCAAGGATGGAATGGGAATTTAACCTCATGTACTAGTAATGAAAAAAAGAAGCTGAGAGTTTAATAGTAATATCCTGTATCTAAACCTACATTTTACATAAAGAATTAAAGTCACGGCAGCATGAAAATTCCTCAAATCACAGTTTTAATACCTGCCTATACTGCAGAAAAGCTTAAAACTTTAAATTACTGAACATGTCAGTAGCTCCATGTAATTATTTTAGGCTAGATCAGAGCTTTGGGAGAATTAATTAAATGTCTTGCTTTTTTTTCTTTAGTGGATTTACTTGTCTAATATGACTGAATAAAGTAAGCTAAAATGATATATACACAAATTTAAAGCTAAGTTAAATGTAGGGGATGAATGTTTAAATCAAAATGTCTAATTAGAAGGGCTGGGGCTTTAGCTCAGCGGCACAGTGCTTGCCTGGCAAGCGCAAGGTTGCGAGTTCGATTCCCGGTACTGGGAAAAAAAAAAAAAAAAAAAAAAAAAAGTCTAATTAGAGAAAATCTCTAATTTTTTTTTTTTTTTTTTTTTTTTTGAGACAGTGTTTCACTATCAGTTCAGGCTGGCCTTGAACTCACTTTGTAGCCCAGGCTGGCCTTGAACTTGCGGTGATCCTCCTGCCTCAGGCTCCTGAGTGCTGGGATTACAGGCGTGCGCCACCACGCCCAGCATCTTTTAACTATTTTTAAAAGCTTTTGATGCTTAAAGTGATGACATTTTATACAACAGATTCTAGTTTTATGTAAGGAATCCTAATTTATCTTTTATGCTTTGAAATATTTATGAGGAAACCTAAATTTGAAAAATAAAAATAAAAACAAGCACAGAAAGAAAACAGATTCTTAAGCAGTTACTTCACAACAGATATGAATTATTCCAGTCAAGTTTAGCTTATTCTCTTATCCTTTATATAAAATTACTCCTTTTTGTCCATATCACCACAATGTGAAAATGCTTGCAAATTACCACGCCCCTCTCAGCGTATCTTCAGTGGCAAACTAGAAATCTGCCTACTTTTCAAAGCTGTTAGCTTACACAATATATGAAAATTACCCAGCACTATGCCTCTTACATCTTCTTCATAGACAGTATTAATTGACTTTAAGAATTTATGTATCCAAAAAAAAAAAAAAAAAGAATTTATATATCCAATCAAGTTAAAACATCTTAGCCAAGCAATTGCTTAGTTCTCTCCAACCATGAACCACGACACACACAAGACAGCAGTAAAATGTATCATAAAGAAAGGTTAGCTCTTCAACTGTGGTGAATTTTCCAGGGAGAAAAAGTCATTTCAGTAACAATCTGCCACTCTCTCAAGACTCAAAATATGCTTACCTCATACAATGAAAGCTATGGCAAAATTCTGTTCTATGACCATAATCTTACTAAGCCTATTCAATTTTTTTTTTGAGACAGGGTCTCACTATGCAGTTCAGGTTGGCCTTGAGCGCACTGTGTAGCCCAGGCTGGTCTCGAACTAGCAATGATCCTCCTGCCACAGCTTCCCTAGTGCTGGGATTACATTCGTGCGCCACCACGCCCAGCAAAGACTATTCTAATTTGTAAATTTCTGTAGATATTGACTTTACTAAAGGTCTTTCCTTTTTTTGCTTTTCCTTTTTCTTCCTTTATGTAAGGAATCCTAATTTTTCTTTTATGCTTTGAGATTTTTGTTTTTGTTTTTCTTCCAGTACCAGGAATTGAACTCACGATCTTGTGCTTGCCAGGCAGGCGCTGTGCTGCTGAACCAAATCCCCAGCCCTATGCTTTGGGATGTTTATATGAGGAAACCTAAATTTGAAAAATTAAAATAAACATAGGAAGAAAATAGATTCTTAGTTATTTCACAATGGACATGAATTATTCCAGTCGTTTAGTTAGCTTATTTGGTTAGCCTTTACATAAAACTACTGCTTTTTCTTTTCATTCCCCTTCCTTGAAAAAGAACATCTAATAAAACTGTCAGAAGTGAAAAACATGAATGTATTACCTGTTGTGCTTGAGTGACCATCTCCTTATAGATAGTATCCAGGCTGACATTTGATAAAGTGGTTAATGCTGATACAATTGTTTCTGCTTGTGGTTTGTCAAATCCTATAGGCCACAAATAAATATTTATATTTTAAAAATATAAAACATTGCGCATCCTTCTTAGAATAGATAGCTAGAATAACTTAGCACTTTCCTGGACATGTGGTGGTTATATTGTTTAAAAAAGACAGTAACATTAAAAATTGACAGATAAGCCAGGCGTGGTGGCGCATGCCTGTAATACCAGCACTCAGGAGGCTGAAGCAGGAGGATCATTGTGAGTTCAAGACCAGCCTGGGCTACAAAGTGAGCTCAAGGCCAGCCTGAACTGTATAGCGAGACCCTGTCTCCAAAAGACCAAAACTAAACAAAAAAACCAGGTAACACTAGACTACTCTTTAAAATTACTCTGTCATCTTATTTTTTTTGTCTTTTTAAGTTTCCCCAATTTCTAATGCCTTATTACACACTAATTTCATGTATATGTCTCTAATTACCATTGTTTGATGAATCAACATTCCTATTCCTGCGATATCACAAGTTATCATTGGGTATCTGGTAATTTTTTGTGCTTATTCTTTCGTGTTTTAAATTCTTGAACATCTGTACTTCCATTCAGAGTTTCTCATCAGCCTAGGAATGAGTTTTTCTTTTTACTTAATGGGAATCGTTCTGCACATATAATTTTATACAATGCTTCTTCATTAACATATCTTGAGCATTTCTCATATTCTTTAAGCAAACCATTTTTAAGGACTATGAAATGTTCCACTGTATGGATGGCACAGCTATTGAAATAGTTACTCCTTAATTGTTCACAGTAGCAGTATTGTCTTGACTGGGTATTATGAGTGCAGTTGATTTTCTTCTTTTAAGAAACAGTACTCATTTTTCTTACCATGAGTTTCTAAATCCCGAACCAGGGCATGGGTATCAAAAGTTAATTTCCTTTGTTCTAAAGGTGTTATGTCCACTGGCCTCCTATCATATCCTTCCTTGCTTGTAGTGGTCAAGAAATCTGAAAGGAAAAAAAGATGTTGGCTTTTTTTCTTGTAATAACTAATAGACTTTGAAGATACCACCATGTATTACAGCAGCCATTGATATTTTCCTACTAATCTGTCCATAACTCTGTAATGTTTGTATTGTTCCTATGCTATTTTGTAAATGGATGTATGTTTATTACTATGTGTTTCCTACAACCACCATAGAGAAGTCAATGAATATTCAATTGATCACTCATGTATAGCTCAATTTATTTTCTTTAGAAACCACTTTAAAGATACCATAGTACAATCACCATTGATAATCTCCTACCTCTTTTGTGTGTAACTATTATCTATTTGTTTTCCTAAGAAACTATCTTGTAGATAACAATATGTAAAACAACAACCATTGATCATTTCCTACCACTTTGTCTGTAATTCAGTAAGCCCCCCTATTACTGTTACCCTTCTTTTACTCTTTAAAATAAAAAAAAATCTAAAAAAAAAAAAACTAATAGAGGTGTCATACTTTGGGTTCTAAAGCATTTTTCCCATTTATATGCAGTTCCAGCTCTTCTTAGTTCTGTAATCTTGCACAAATTCACTCCTTTGAGCCCCAATTTTATCTGAAAAGTCGCAGATACTGCTCTGTACACAGCAAATATTTAATGTTTCCTTTTCTTTGTTCACTATTCAGAAATGTTAAAAGAATCCAACTAGCAGAGCTCCTAGGGGAGGGAACCAGGAGGAGAGAAGGGTGGGGTGCACTGAAAAGGGGCCCCATCTAAGCACCAGATATGCGTGCATGGAAATGTCACAGTGAAACCCATTAATCTGTTCAACTAATATGTGTTAATTATAATTTAGAAGCAGCAAAATGTACAGTATTTGGAAGTTGGCCTGAATTTACAATATGATGTATAGCAAATGCTTTGGATTTCACTCTCAACTCTAATTACTGGAGAGCAGAAGCTGCCTAACTCATAGAGCTTTGGAGGTTTTACCCTGTACTTTCACCCAAAGTAGCTTTCCACACCCCCACCTCTCACCTGTCCACGTGCTTTACTTCCTACATAGTTCTCAGCTCTAGTTGTCCTGTTTGCTGTTTGTCTCTCTGAACCAGAATATAAGCTCTGTGTTGGTCTGACTGTGATTTTCATTACTGTATCTTCAGCACCTAGAAAAACTCCTTAGCACCTAGAACTCTTTAACACAATGTTCAGTCACATTTATTTTTTTGGTACCAGGAATCAAACTCAGGACCTTGCGCTTGCCAGGCAGGTGCTTATGCCACTGGGCTATATCCCTGGCCCACATTTTTTTTTATTAGTGAGTCAATCAATTAATTGATTTTAAGTCCTACTTACCATTATCAGTACAAAAAGCCCCAGGAAATATTTGTAATTTATGAAATAACTCTTCTTGTTGCAATGAACTTCTATTTTTTAACCTAGACATGGTATAGTCCTTTTCTGTATACTGCTGATGTATTTTATTGTAAGATACTTGCTTTGGGGGAGAACCTACCTATATACAAATTCTTTACAATGTATTAAATAACTTTCAGCCAGTCACATATACAAATTCTTTACAATGTATTAAATAACTTTCAGCCGGTGGTGGTGGTGCATGCCGGTCATTCCACCACTTGGGAGGCTGAGGCAGGAGGACTGTTGCAAGTTCAAGACCAGCCTGAACTGCCTAGTGAGACCTTATCTCGAAAAGACCCCCAAAAAACCAAACCCCCCCCCCAAAACCCAAAAAACTTCCCATTAGTATAATTACTGTCAAATACAAGGTACTATATCAAATAGTTTATATGCTAATGCAGGCAAGATGGTACACACTTTCGATAAAAAACTGTTACTTAGGTAAGGTAAAGGGATTTACCTACTAAGGTCACAGAGCCAATGGCAGATTTAGGACCCAGACTTAGGTTCTTTTGATTCCAAAGCTTATTTTCTTTCCATCATGCTCCACTGTCTCTCATTATCCTATGCCACTTAGAATATTTACACACTTGAAAAAGAATAGCTGTAACTTCAGGCACTGCTTTTTTGTTAGTGTTCTGTAGGGCAAATGTGATTCCTTCCTAGATATCTTTTCAGCCAACACAATAAGGAACGCCAGGTCAGGCTGGACAGAGGACATAAAACAACAAGCAAATCCAGACATATCTGATGTCCTCATTGATTTTACAGATTAGTACTCAGCAGAAAAAAGATGTTAAAAAATAACCTGAACATCAATTCTAAATTCAAATAATAAGAGGTAAAAATTTATTAAAATAAAAAATTCTAAAGAGATTACAGAAAGCAGTTGTAAAGGTGGAATAACTTCTTTTAAAGCACATATTGGCACAATGTCAGCATTCGTTTTGGTTTAAGTGTCATCTAAAAGGGTTAAAAGGTTTGCCTCTGTATGTTAAGGTCAGACCTGAAGTAAGAGAGAAAAGAGGAAAAAGGTACAGATTTCACCAGGAGTTGCAGTAACAATTACATGAGGAGTACTGATTTGGTGTCTTTAGTTTTCTACTCCTGATTAGAAGCTGATTCTTTTTTTTTTCTTTTTTGTCATTTTGAGACATGGTTTCACTCTGCAGTTCAGGCTGGCCTTTAACTCACTTTGTAGCAGAGGCTGGCCTTGAACTTGCAGTGATTCTCCTGCCTCAGCCTCCCGAGAGCTGGGATTACAGGCAGTGTATGTCACCATGCTCGGCCAGTTCATTATTTGGTGTTTACAGAAAAATCACTAATAGAAGATAACATTTTACTGTTTTCACACCTCTTACTCAGTCCTTAAAATTCTATGTATGAGGAAAACTTGAGGCTAAATTAAGTGATTCGTCTCAGGTATTACGGTCTCATACATAGGTATATTAGAACAATTCCCCTGACTTATAAACACTGAACAGCTCACGAAGATCAGCTTTCTACTACAGTACCTTAATATTCTCAACAATTCTTGGTAGGGTGCAGCTTCTCTTATTTACCATTATATTATCTGATCTTCTGTTTTTATTTTTTTATTTATTTATTTTTTTTTGTTTTTTTCTCTGGTACCGGGAACCGAACCCACGACCTTGCGCTTGCCAGGCAGGCGCTTTTGCCGCTGAGCTAAATCCCCAGCCCCTGATCTTCTGTTTTTAAGGGCTGATTTTAATTCCACAAATACTGTATGTTTTTCTTTCTCAGCGACCTTTGCCCACTCCCCTGTTCAGAAAGCTTCGTCTGCTCATATTTGTCCATAGTTCAGTCCAGCTCGCCCAGACTCTAGGTCAAATTCCTGCTTTACTGTACTGTGTCATGTTCTTTCACAACATTCCTCAGGATGTACACATGTGCCTCTTAACTTCCCTAACAGACTAGTGTCATTCAGCTACTGCCTTCAGGCGACCCCCTTTTTCTAAATAGGTTTAGTTAAAGCAAAACAAAACAAAACGAAAGCCACCTAGTTTTATTGGAACACAGCTCATTTATTTATGGATTACCTATGGCCACTTTTATGGTACAATGGTAGAGTGAGTAGTAACTGACCATGTCTCAAAAAACCTAAAATATTTAATATTTGATTTTTTTTTTTTCCTTCTTTTTGAGGCAGGGTCTTGCTATGCAGTTTAGGCTGGCCTTGAGCTCACTTTGTAGCCCAGGCTGGTCTTGAACTCACCATGATCCTCCTGCCTCAACCTCTTGAGTGCTGGGATTACAGGCGTGTGCCACCACGCCTGGCCCTAATATTTGATTCTTTAGCTAACCACAGTCATTAACAGTAGGGACATCTGTTCTTGCACATCACTCAATCACTAATGCTTAGTACAATTCCAGATGCTTGTATTGTTGAATGAAAGGCATTGTTTGGCATTATGCATGTCATAAAAAAAAGTTTTGATTCATTTGAAATGAGATCTCACTGTTGCCCAGGCTGGACTCCTGGTATCAAATGATCCTCCTGCCTCAGCACCTACAGCAGCAGAAATTACAGGTGTGTAGAACTATGTCTGACTTTTTATGATGCATCTGATGTATTGTATATATCCATAAGGAATTATAAAGGAGAGACATCTGCACCTCTTGGAGAATAATGGGTCAAAAGTAGCTTTTCATTTTTTTGAGGCAGGGTCTTGTTATGTAGTTCAGGCTGGCCTCAAATTTATGTGATCCAACTGCTTCAGACTCCTGACTACTAGGATGACAGATGTGCACCGTCATGCCTGGCAAGGGTGGCTCTTTACAAAGCTGGGTTGTTTTCTTTTTGAGAGACAAAAAGTTCTCTCAGTTCAAGTTGCCTCAAACTTGAAGTGATCCTCCTGCCTCAGCCTCCTGAGTGCTAGGATTACCAGTGTGCACCACCATGCCCAGCCATAAAGCTGTATTTTAAAGTTATCCAAGTAGCACACACAGAATGATCAAAATTCACCAAAAGCATGGGATGCTTTTGCTATTCCCACCTTACTTTTTATGTACCATGGGCTGAGATGAGAATACATTAGGACATGGGGAACATTTATTCCTCATATGTCCTCAAGTACTCATGTGATACTTCACAATACTGGGAGGTGTTCATATGCTCTCTGGCAGGATGAGGGGTGCTATGCTCAGTCCTCTCTGGGTGTCACACTCACTATCCTGACCGGCCCTGAGCAGTCTGACTTACTGGAATTTAAGTATCTGTGGGCCTATTAGAAGGAAGAGACGAGTTGGCCAGAATCAGTGTTTTCATCTCAAGGTGAAATATGTTCGCAATACCTTAAGTTTCCAGAACTTAAACATCTGTGTAAAGCCCCAAGCCTTTCCTTTCACTGTTACATATTTTGATTCTTTCACACCTATTATGTGTATATGTGTGTGTCTTTAGAGTGAGAAACAAACTCCAAGTTTTAAGACGTAACCAGCTTAAAAGCTGTAATTCTGTGTCATGGATTCAAACTCTGGCCTATCTTGCACTGTGCTGCACTTTGCTGGAAAAGATGCGTTTTATTTTTGAAAACATGTAAGCAAATGTCTCATTAAATCTAACTTGCAAGTTTTATATTAATTTACTGCTAACTGTAGAGCTGAAACACTTTAGGACATGGCTGGTTATTTTTGTCTGGAAGTTGAAGAGGCATTACAACATATATTCTTTCACATATTAGTCTACTGATGTGCTGTGCTAGTTGCATCAGAATTACTAAGATTTGTAAGTTAAATAATAAACTAACACAGAGATACCTCAGTTCCACCCCTGCCGACTAACTCAGTACTTGTAGGATAAGGCTTGAGAACCTGTATTTTTAAAAACTTTCACTGTTTCTGGTGTTCTGCTAAGTTTGAGAACTAGTAAGCTAGGAATAGTGTGCACAAAAGTTAGAAAAAAGAATCACACTACTGTCCTATGTCTTTACTCATTTACCTTTAAAAAAGGAATTGGTGGGGCTGGGGATTTAGCTCAGCGGCACAGCACCTGCCTGGCAAGCGTAAGGTTGTGAGTTCGATTCCTGGTACCGGAGAAAAACCAAAATTTAAAAAAAAAAAAATTAACTATTAAATACGTTGTTTTTTAGAAGCCACTTTGAAGATACCAAAGTATAGTACAACAACTATTGATAATCTCCTACCTCTTTTGTCTGTAACTCACTATTATTTGTTCGTTTTCCTGAGAAACTATCTGGTACTTTGTAATTTGGTAAGCCCCCCCACCCTTATTGTTATCCTTCTTTTACTCTTTAAAATAAAAAACAAAAAACAAACAAACAAAAAAGGAATTGGGACTCATTCATAAGTAAGATCCCCCCATGGGCCAGAGGTCAAAAATTCTTTGGTTACAGGTGTTCTTGGGTAAGTTTAAACTAACAGCACACAGTAATCCTTGTTCAGCGAAGAGAAACACTGCATCATGCGAGACTTAAGGTTTTCACCCGACTAATTAGACTCAGATGGAACTCAACAATTATTTTAAAATATTAAATATTTATGGTGATGTATTTTCCAATATGATATATTCTCTAAAAAAAATTTTTTTTTTTTCTGAGACTGGGTCTCACTATGTAGTTCAAGCTGGCCTTGAACTCATGGCAATCCTCCTGCCTCAGCCTCCAACGTACTGGGATTACAAGTGTGAGCCACCATGCCCAACCATTTTATGTTTTCACTTGAATATTTTAACAAAATACATCTCTAAAAGTTTGCAAGGATAAATTAAGATTTGGATGATTTCTAAATGCTCAAAATAAAACGCTACTGGTTTTGTACAGTGCATCACAATGTATATGTGTGCTAAACACCTAAATATGTAACTGAGCCCTTGTAGGTGATCCTGACAGCTAAACAGTAATGTTACAAATGGAGGATCAGTAAGTGCAGTCTTGACTGCACCCGCTATTGGTGTGAATAAAATGAAACAATCAGCAAAACAGTAAGAAGAGTGTGAAGGGGGAGAGACAGTCTGGGTACTGAATACGTGTAGGTTACTATGTGATTAAAGGACTGAGGATTACATGCAGAGTAAAGCCGCCCTGACCTGAAATGCGTGGTGCGAATCCTGCGCCTGGGCTGCCGACCAGAATCTAAGTATCACTCTAAATCTGAACAGGCCACAGAAAAAATCAGAGCTCCTCCACAGACACTGGGAACGTTTGGTTCTGGCAGACCTATGAGCTTTCTGCCTCGCGTGACAGAGTAAAAAGGGCTCGGGGAGAAGCCGGAAGCGAAGTCCAGGCCCTCAGAGGCTCGCTCTGCTAAAAGGAAGGCACCTCTCCCGGCCGGACCCCAGGGCGGGCCAGGGAGGGCCAGGGCGGGCAGCGGGTCAACCGCGGCGCGGCGGGGAGGGGGGCGTGGCGCCTTCGCCTCCAGAGCGCGACCCACCGGAATCGTCTCCCTAACAGCACTCGGGCACCGGTGGCAGGAAGCTTCGCCTCACCTCTCCGCAGGGCCGGCGAGAATCGCCCTCGCGGAGTTGAAACCCAGCGGCCCCGGCTGCCAGCGGAGTGCAGAGGGGGCCAAGCCCAGCGACGCCTCATGGTCTCCTTTCCGATGGGCAGGAGGAAGCGGAAGGCGGGAGACAGCTCGCTCAGGCTTTCGGGTAAGGTAGTTCCGCTACCGCGAGGATGCCGGGAAATGTAGTCTCCGGGCGGACCCAAGACCCCGAGCGGCTCCGGACAAGTTCCCTCTTCACAGGCAGTGTTCATGAGCGTGGTTCAGAGCGGCACCGCTCTCCCGCCGCCCCTTCCCAACCGGTGCACATCTTTACCGCCCCAGAGAGGTGGGGTCCAGGAGAAGGTTTCCTGGCATGAGGAACCGCCCAAAAACACGCTCCCCGGGGAAAGCCTGTGCTAATGCGCCGTGGATCTGTGGCGACGCGTCTGCCTCTAGCCGCACAGTAACCTGGGACCTGAGTCCGCGCCGCTGGGCACTCTGGGAGGGCGGAAGTGCAGAGTACAGCTAACCGCCCAAGCCCTGTGCTTCGCTTGCTGCTGCGTCGCCCTCTGCTGCAGTGGAGGTCCAAAAGTCCCACTTTTCAGAGTAAAGGGATTCTAATATAAATCCCAAAGTGTACACAAAATCGGTAGGTTTTTAGTCACTGAATTAGGATTTTTACGTATATGTATTCAAAATTTGCGAATCAGCTACGTAACAAGCGCCGTTCTGAGCGCCGAGACTTTGTTTTTTTGTCTTTTTGAGACAGGGTCTTCCTGTACAGTTCAGGCTGAACTTGATCTCACTTTGTAGCGCAGGCTGGTCTCGAACTCGCTGCGATCCTGTCTCCGTGCCCGAATTACAGTGGTTCGCCACCACGCCTAGCCTAAGTGCTGAGACATTTTAAAAGGGGACGAAACTTGACTTCTGCCGCAAGTGCTATCTATCTATCTATCTATCTATCTATCTATATTTTTTGATACCGTGAATCAAACTCAGGACCTTGCCCTTGCCAGGCAGGCGCTTATGCCGCTGAGCTATATCCCTGGCCCTCGCAAGTGCTTTAAGAGACAATTCATGTGAGGAAATGTAAGTGGGTGTTTTAAATGTCGGGGTATGTAACGGAGGCAAAGAAGTAAAGCGTAAGGGTACCATCTTTACCTATTACAAATTTTAAAAAATGATAATTGTCGATGTTAACAAATAAGCAATTAGATAGGGGTACTCACACTCCTGGCAGAAATGTTAGTACATGTTCAGAAAGCAATTTATTTATTTATTTATTTTTTATTTTAAAGAGTAAAAGAAGGACAAGATAGCAATAGGGGGATTCACCGAATTACAGACAAAGTGGTAAGACATTATCAATGGTTGTTATTTTACGTATTGGCATCTTCAAGATAGTGTCTCGGGAAAACAAAGATAAATAATAGTGAGTTACAGGCAAAAATGGCAGGAAATTATCAATGGTTGTTATACTGTAGCTTGGTTTCTCCAAAGTGGTCTCTAGGGAAAACAAATAGAGCTATACATGAGTGATTAATCATATAATCATTGACTATTCTCAGTGGTTGTTTTTGAAAACGCATAGTAACAAACATACATCCATTTACAAAATGGCACAGGAACAATACAAACATTACAGAGTTATGGACAGATTGGTAGGAAATCATCAATGGCTGCTGCAATACACGTTGGCATCCTCAAAGTGGTTTCTCAGGAAAACAAAGATATGCAAGAAAGATCCAACGAGTAGTTACAGCCTAAGGGCAGAAAGCAATTTATTGATGTATATGAAGCTCTAAAAGGTGAATGGCCAGAGCTTTATTTCTAAAACACTGTTTGAAAATAATCACATCTGTACCTAAGATTTTAAAAAAATGGTTATTATTATGTTACTTGAAAAAAATTGAAAATATCCTAACTATTCTAAAAATGATTCAATAACTTGGAGAAATGTTCCAAGTTGGAATATTATGCAGTCATTCATTATCTTGGACTTTAATTTTAGAGACAGGAAAATACAGAAGTATGTATTCTTTGACTTTCGATGTGCAAAGATTTCTGTTAGGATATATAATATTGCAAAGATTTCTGCTCACCAAGAACTTGCACTATAACTGAGAAAATAAAACAAAAATACTAATAGTCTTCCACACAAAACCTTAACATATTAGTGTTATGTAAATGTTTAAAAAATAATCCTTTAGTTTGTTTGAGGATGAGACACTCTTTTGTCATAATTATCAAGCAGTGATAGGATTTGCACATATTTTTAAACGTTTCTATTAGGGAGAGACTGTAGGGCAAGAGGTCCAGAAGAAAGGGTTGTAGTAAGCAAGCACACTTTTCTAATCCCCTTGTTCCTTATTATGTATGCCCTTTGCATACGATGCTTTCTCAGTTTTGAACCCGCTTTACTCTTAGCCTATCCTTTCATGTGGTTTGGTTCCCTCCCCCATCATATACAACAGGAAGACTGGTGCCGTTGTTATGGACACCTATAGCAACCCAATTTTGCCATGTCCCTGAGCTTGTTATTTGTATCCACTATGATGATAGAGGCCACACCTGCCTTAGTCACTTTCCTATTACTTGGACAAAATACTCAACACTCACAATTTAAAGGACACGAGGTTTATACTGACACACAGTTTCAGTCCATGGCTGGCTGTTCTAAGGGAGAAAGGGCATGGTGGAAGGATCTGGCAAAGGAAAAGTGGTCGTCTTAGTGGTCAGGGAGCCGAGAGGGAAAGGGAAAGCCATGGAGGGAAACATACCTTTTCGGCCATGACCGGGTAGCTGCCTTTTTCCACCAACACCACCTCCTAATGGAACTCTCAGCTCTGAATTCTGTGGCTCCGCCATGGATGAGTGCAGTGCTCCATGATCCAGCCACCCTCCAGAGCTCTCACCCCTGAACACAAGAGGCTCTGGGGGACATTCTAGATCTACATTATAACACCTACTGCTGTGTCTGTAGCACTTAATGTAATACCTGGCCCATAACAATCCTTGGGTAAGTACGTGCTGAGTGAATGGCGAATGTTTAAAATATGGGCCTAGTTTGGTGAGAAAACCTGGTAGACTGGTGCAAAGGAGTTATATGGAGATTGGATGGAATTCGGGGAGATAGGACAAATAATTTTTAAAAAACAGTAAAAAAGGCCTAGGAGGCCAGGCGTGGTGGTGCACGCCTGTAATCCCAGCACTCAGGAGGCTGAAGCAGGAGAATCGTTGTGAGTTCGAGACCAGCTTGAGCTACAAAGTGAGCTCAAGGCCAGCCTGAACTGCATAGAGAGACCCTGCCTCAAAAAAAAGACAGGAAAAAAAAAAAAAGGCCCAGGAATTTCATACAGTACACTCATAGAAGATTTTGAGTTTTTTAGTCAAAATGGGAAAAAGCCAGTTTGAGTTCCTTTCCAGAAAATAACTGTTTGCTATTTACTAGTATAGGCATATAACTCCAGCATTCAGGAGGCTGAGGCAGGAAGATCGCCATAAATTTGAGACCAACCTGGGCTACATAGTGAGTTCAAGGCTAGTCTGAACTGCATAGTGAGATTCTGTCTCAAAAAAAAAAATCTAGTATAGGCAAATTAATTACTTCTTTTTCCATTGTTATGAGACTTCCACTGTTACTGCCATGAGAAATACAGCCACTCTGAAAGCAGCCTCTTATCCATACCCCAGAGCCAGTGTTGTAGCCAGGATAGTGAACCCTTGTTTTTTCATCGTGAAGGACTACTTTTGTATTTTTTTAACTGTATGAGCCCAAAATTTAAATATATCATTTTTTGAACCACATATAGGAAACCATTACTTGTTTTCCTAGTTTCAGTTAATTTAAGATAAACTACTGTCATGGCTTGTGTCTAGATGTCTCCCCAAAGCCTCATGTGGTCATAGGTAGGGCTTTTCAGAGGTGGCTGGATTTAGAGTGTGTGATGATGGGATTAAAGGTGTGATGCTGGGGTCAAGGGTGTGTGATTACTAAATTAGTCCACTGATTGGTTTGACACAGTTCTGAGCCCACCCTGGGTATGAGTGCTAACGGGCAGGTAGCCTGGATAGAATATAAGGACAAAAAGAGGGTTGCTGTTGTTGCTGCTTGCCTCTTGGTCTGCTGTTGCAGTCAATTTGCTGTTTTGCTGCCTTCTGCCTACCATGAACTGTTTCTTCTTTGCAGTATCCCTCTGCCATGCCACCCTGCCTTGGAGCCAGCCAACTTTGGACTGAAACCTCTACAAACTATAAACCGAAATAAACCTTTTCTCCTTTAACTTTGGGTGTTGGGTATTTTGTCTCAGCAATGAGAAAAGTAACTAACACAACCACTGCTAATGAGTGGGAGAAAAGCAGTGCTTATCCAACTTTAAGTTGATAAGTTTCCCCTGAAGGCAAAGATACTTGCCATTTCTTTGGTGAGGTTCCAGTTTCAGCTCTAGTGATGACTCAGTTTCTTTAGGCATTTGAAATGCCCACATTCTCTCAAGAACCCAATACTTGTTTCTGATGCCTAGGGGCCCAGGAACCCAGGTTTTTTGCAACTGCATAAGACAGGCAGAATCCACCAGCATTGTGATGGTAACTCAGGTGGCTTCAAGAAAGAGGATGCATGTTGGACTTCTGACATTTGTTGGTCTTAGAAGAGGTGATACAGAGGAATCCCAATGTAGTTTTTAAAGCAGCTGAATGAAGCACTGTGAAGCAGACCCCTGTAGACTCTATAGATTTAATTTTCTTCTTTCGTTTTAGTGGAGCTCTTGCCACTAGGGGGAGTATGTGGAAAAGAATTGAGAGCAGTTCTTTTTTTTTTTTTTTTTTTTTTTTTTTTTT